CTCAAAAACTATGAAAATTTTAATGAAGCATAGACAAAATTGGAATCAAAAGTAGAATTTACTTATAATCATCATGGCTAGTTATGATTGTATTGTCTAACCAATTTGCTCAGTTATGTGCTCACAAAGTAGGATATGATTTTGTTAAAATACACTTTGTGTTAAACTGAAGAAATGGTTTTCAAACATGGTCATGCACAAGAATCACCTATAGGAAATGGATAGACATGCATATTCCCAGAGTTTACCCTCCCTAGGAATTCTGAATTGTAGGTGTCATTGTGGTGTTGGGGAATCTGCAAGTTTAGCATGCTTCCCAGACAGTTTTTGATGTAGGTATCCATAGAGCACACTTGGGAATTGCTTCTCAGCAGAACATTGTTTACATCAAAATTGTATGAATCTGGATGAATACTCTGGGCCACTGGTTCTGGGTTGAATTGGAGTGTTCTTGATGTGGTTCTACCTATGTAGACACAAACCTATTAGAGAGGCAGTTGACTTATTTGTAAAGAACAGCAAGTTTACATTTTGTGTTGGCTGATAATTACGGCCCCTGCCCTCATTAGAAAATTAAAAGTGTACAGGCACGAGAGAGAATTAAGATTATATAAGGGCTTCCTTTCCTTATTTTCTTTCTCTTCTGCTACTTACTCTTCCTCCTTTTTCTCCTCTTCACAATATTTATTGACCTACATTTGGATTTTTGTGTAGTAATCATGTTTTCACTAGACCTTTCAACAGTGAAAAGACAGGGGCAACAGGAAAAAGGAACCATCTTCTACTATATCAGATGCCTTTAAATACCAAACACAGTAAGAGCAGCACAACTCACCACTTTTAAGTTTGAGATCCTGGAGAGCAGGAAAGCCTTCCTGTAATGCATTTTTTTTGTGCCTTTCCAGAGATAGTTTATGTCATCTATCAAAATATAGCATTTCTTACCTTCTTAAATACTTATAAACTTCCAGGAAGTAATGTTCTGTATAAAGTTTTTTCATTAGAAATGACATTATGGTGAGGGGAAGCAGCTGAGCCATCTATTTACTGGCCTGATCCCCAGCATAATCAATGACAAGCATGGCGAGACTGACAGCTATTGTCAGGGAGCTAGCCTGGGGCTGTGGAATAAAATTATTCCTTGAGTAACTTAAAAGAGTTGTACAGTATGGAGATCATGACTTCAGGATCTTGTATAGGATACACTAACCAAGAGCAAACAGATTTAGCATTAGGGTCACAAGACTATGGGGCCACGTATATACAAAGGCCAGCTTTGAAGATAGGTTCCAGTTTTAACTGGGCTGTGCTGATCTGTCTCTTTAGAAAAAATAGCAGGGTTTTTAATGTAGCCAATATAATAGTCCAGATCTTTAGTATGTGGTTTGATAATTTATATGTGTATATATTAATATAAATGAAAATTACAAAGGAATGGAAATGTATGCTGTAGATAGTATTGTAGTATTTGGGGTATTATAATAGAATAACAGAATACCATAGACTGGTTGGCTTATAAGCAATAGGAATTTGTTTACCACAGATCTGGAGGCTGGGAAA